TGTGTAGTGTTAGTGTGTATGTATGCGTGTAGGTAAGTGTAGTGTATAGTGTAGTAGTGTATAGTGTAGTGTAGTGCAGTGGCGGCTCCTGCAAAATCTCTCAGGGGGGGCAAATGTCTGGATGATTGATAAGGATAAGGTCCACCCATGCAATGGATCAATGAACAGCTTAAGCATGTTAAGGCAACTTCACTTCTTTAATATTAAGGCAAAATAAAGTGACTCTTACAATACATCTCCTTGTTTGTTTCTATACTCACTATTACTACAATCCACTCAGTTTCTTTTATTAAAGATTCCACTAGGTGGCGACAAATAATATTGTTGACTGAAACGTGCTCACGTATGAAGACGTAAGCACGTTAGTGCGAGCCCTCCCGGAAGCCATAGAGAATGCATTGCAGCGCCCGCCTTTTGAAAAGAAACATCTTTGATTGTAAGTCTATGGGACCACTCGGGGCGATTCTCAGCCGGAGTGAAATCGCCCAAAAAGAGGCGGTACTCCACAGAACGTGACATGACGCTGATTGGACTATATCCAGAGGCACAGTAACGGCTCGCGAAACTCTGTGGTTGAATGACATTGGTGGTGCGTCGCCCAATCGCCCTAATGAAGGAACCGCCCCTGGTGTAGTGTATAGTGTAGTGTATAGTGTAGTGTATAGTGTAGTAGTGTAGTGTATAGTAGTGTAGTGTATAGTTTAGTATAGTGTAGTGTTTAGTGTAGTGTGTAGTGTAGTGTGTAGTAGTGTATAGTGTAGTGTATAGTGTTGTAGTGTATAGTGTAGTGTATAGTTTAGTGTAGTGTAGTGTTTAGTGTAGTGTGTAGTAGTGTATAGTGTAGTGTATAGTGTAGTGTATAGTGTAGTGTATAGTTTAGTGTAGTGTAGTAGTGTATAGTGTAGTGTAGTAGTGTAGTGTGTAGTATAGTGTAGTAGTGTATAGTGTAGTGTATAGTGTAGTAGTGTAGTGTGTAGTGTATAGTGTAGTGTATAGTGTAGTGTATAGTGTAGTGTATAGTGTAGTGTATAGTGTAGTAGTGTAGTGTATAGTGTAGTAGTGTATAGTGTAGTGTATAGTGTAGTGTATAGTGTAGTAGTGTATAATGTAGTGTATAGTGTAGTATATAGTGTAGTGTATAGTGTAGTGTATAGTGTAGTACGTACATTGAACCGTGCTGACCCCCCCCCCCCAGGCATCACCCTGGGGGTCCTCATCTCGCTGCTGGTGACGATGGTGGCCTTGGCTGTCTACGTTTACCGCCCGCTGAGGCCGGGACGCTAACATCGTCATGGCCACCACCTCCTCAACCTCCTCTTCGTCGTTAACATTCACTCGCAGCGACGTCACGAGACCCCCTTTGCCAGCATGAAGTTGTGATGATCTTGATTTGAAGCTTTCGTGACTGCAGGGATCCATACTCTGTGGTTATTTTGGGAAAGTCCACGTAGGTAGTAAAATAGTAATAGATCACGACGTTTCGGGTGCAACACACTACACTATTACACTATACACTACACTATACACTACACTACTACACTATACACTACCCTACGACACTATACACTACACTATTACACTATACACTTCACTATACACTTCTATACACTACACTATACACTACTACACTACACTACTACACTATACACTACACTATTACACTACTATACACTACTACATTACACTATACACTACTACACTATACACTACACTATACACTACACTATACTACTACATGACTACACTATACACTACACTACTAAACTATACATAGGTATGAAATAAATCACGTTTCAGGTGCAACACACTACACTATACACTACACTATTATACTATACACTACACTATACACTACACTATTATACTATACACTACACTATACACTACACTACTACACTATACACTACACTACTACACTATACACTACACTACTAAACTATACGTAGGTATCAAATAAATCACGACGTTTCGGGCGCAACACACGCTTGCATTCTGACCACAAGCATTGTGGTCAATGCAGACACGATTCCTCGTAACAGGTATCCGTTTGGTGTTTTAACAACTCAACGCGGCTGTTTTGTCGGCAGATAAAAGGGGGGGGAAAAAACCTCTTCTCATATTTCGCTAGTGGCAAAGGAGGTCCCTCATGATGTGGTGCTCCACATATTCTAATGCAAGAGTAGTGTGGTTCAAGGAGGCTTGGACGACGTAGTCGGAGGCACACTTATTTATTCAACACAGTTGTATGTACAGGCCGAGATATACAACACTCGGCGGGGTATCGGCCCCTCCACCCGTCTAACTGGGAGATCGACAACCTATGTCACAGCTAGCCTACTCCTAGGTCCTCCACTATCGGGCTAGGTGAGGCTAGCTAACCCAGTTCTGGTTAAGCTGGGATTACGGCACCCTGAGTTCCCAGACCGGCTCTTACAAGAGCATCGGCTCTGGGCTCTTGGGGCCACGCCACTGGCTGGCCTTGGTCGCTCCTGAGAAGGACAGCGATCCAGGGGAGTCCCAGGGCTCATCTAGCAGGTCTTCTTGCTTCGCTGGTTAAAGCTGAACACTCAACCCCGAGCCCTCTGGCTCACCGCCTTATATAGCAACTCCCCCACTGAGGGGTGGGGCCGTGGGGGATCCCAGCTCCGTATTAGCCCCCCAGGCTAAACGGCGCGGACGTTGATGTAAGCACCTGCTCGCGTATAGACATAGCCACACCCAAGTGTAGAGGAGTAACATGGGGACGTGACGTCGTGTGTGCCGTCCAGTGCGATGACGTCACGGAACGTGACGTCACGCGCGATGGGCATCTCGATGACGTCATGTCCCCTTACCTCCGTCTGCCGAGTGCGTCCTGGGAAACCCCTCAACACAGGGATGAGAACTTAAAGGACATTAATTGCTTCCAACGTGTATTTATTAAAATGTGTTAAGTTAATTAGAACAAAGAAACATTGAAGATTAGTTAAGTTATAATAATAAACAAGTATAACCCGTAAAAACAAAGTTTTTCACTCTAAATCCTTTATATGCGTGGCGGCTAGAGTCCTCTCGTCCTCTGGCTTGAGATGGCTGCCACCTATGGGTCAGATGATTGCATTGCACCATTAGGCAATTGGTAATTAAATATAATATTTTTGTCCTAAAAAGTGTAAAATTTTGGAAAAAAAATTTCACGAACATTAATTGTCACGCACAACGAGTCTGTGTGCAAAATGTCAGCTCGATTGGATCACGGAAAATGGGTTAAAAAACGGCCAAAAGATTTGCACGGTCCTAAGCAAGCAAGCGAACTTAATATAAAGGATTTAAAAATACAACAATTCCAACGAGTAATGGGACTTTTCAAATGGCTAAAAATTGCAGTCTTTTTTTTGCGATTTCCCAATCGCATTGTATCAAATTGTCATTTCGATTTCATATCGATGAATCATTCAGCCCGAGTGGCCAGCACCACCACCATGCCTGGCTGGCCGCCTTTGTCTCTCCCCCAGTGCTAGCGATGTTGACTACACTACAGCGCTACACCGGGTACTCAGTTGAGGCTGAGTCGATCTAGGGGAGGCCCAGGACCGGTTCAGAGAATCGTCACTGAGTGGTGTTGGCCGTGAGCGGGAATCGAACTCGTGTCGCCGGGTTCGTAGCGCAGCGTAGCGATAACCACTAAATCCAACACTCCCCACAGACAACAACAACCGCCATTCGCCACTAAGTAGCGGTGACGTCACCACAACGCTTGTGCCAGGCTAGGTGCACGTTGAGGCCACGTGATGTGTCGAGCGCCCGCTGGCAGGAGGTCACGGGGCAGACCCAGCAGGTGCCACGGGTCGACTGACTTGAGATGCTGGCTGATGCACCACCTGTGCCCCCTACTGTGCCAACTTGCTGTGCTTTAGCCACCCGGAGCTCTGCTCGTTGTTGTGAGCGTCGCTCCTCCCTCCGTTGTTGTTGGAGGGCGACTGCCTCCAACTGCCCAGTAGCGTCCTTCACGAGCCTCCTCCAGAGGCCGATCTTGACACCGCTGGTACCAGTCATCTGCAAGTCCACTCAGCTCCACGTCCTCCGGCCGAACAAAAGCTGTTTAGGCATGCGGTGGCTGGGCATGCGGGCTAGATGACCCAGCCAACGCAGCCTTGCCTGCCGGAGGAGCTCACCGATGGGACTTTGTCCAGATCTTTCGAGGATTTGTGAGCTCCTCACACAATCCAGTCTGGTTAAACCCAGGATGGATCGTAGGCAGGCCAGCCTTAATGTTTCCAACTGGCGAAGATGCTCCATTAGGGGGGGTCCACGTCTCGCAAGCGTAGAGAAGGGAGGGAATGACCGTGGCCGAGAAGACCTGAAGCTTCGTGCGGAGCGACAGACCAGGTAGCTTCCACACAGCGTTACGCAACCGGTGAAAAGATATTGCCGCTCGACTGATTCGGAGTGAGACCTCTGCTGTTAAACTGGAGCTGGTCATAAGCACACTGCTCAGGTATGGGAAACTCTCCACTCTTTCCACAACTGCCCCATCATCGATTGGGAGTTGTGGGGGTGGAGTGTCCGATGGCACAAAATACCCAGGTGCTTAGTTTTGGTGGGGCTGATGGTAAGGCCCCACCTCTTAGTGGCATGCTCCAGTCTCAGCAACAGCATCTCCAACTCCTCCTTTGAATGAACAGCTATTACCAGATCATCGGCACACATAACGTGGTTTAGCAATAGGTAGCCATCCCTTGAGCGCACCCAGGCATCGATCAGCCTCCCATTATATCTGTACCAAATGGAAATTCCCCCGGTACAGCTATTGAAGGCTTCACGAACACACAGACACGCCCAGCGCTAGGCTGACTCATGACATCTCGCAAAGGATCCCTCCGCCGAACAAAGTAGTTCCATGGTCCTGTTTGCATTTTTAAGTCAATGTCCGAAAAATATTTATTAAAATAGTTCATGGAAGCCGCATGTTTGTGTCGGTGTTCGTAAGTGGGGGCGTTCGTAAGTGGAGGATTACTAATTTGTGTGTGTTCGTAAGTGAAGGAGTTCGTACGTGGGGTTTCAAAGATTGTTCGTGTTCGTAAGTAGATGTCTTTGTTATCAGTGTTCGTAAGCTGGGGATTAAACGCGTGCTGAAGTTGATTCTAAATGTCGAGGGGAAACCGGAGAAACCGGAGACAAAATAATCGACGCAGTGACCACCACGGGGAGAGACACAGACTCCAAATATACAGCAGGACCCACGACCTCCTGTAGACCAGGCGAGGTAGTCAACATCTCACAGGACCCACGACCTCCTGTAGACCAGGCGAGGTAGTCAACATCTCACAGAACCCAAGACCTCCTGTAGACCAGGCGAGGTAGTCAACATCTCACAGAACCCAAGACCTCCTGTAGACCAGGCGAGGTAGTCAACATCTCACAGAACCCAAGACCTCCTGTAGACCAGGCGAGGTAGTCAACATCTCACAGGACCCACGACCTCCTGTAGACCAGGCGAGGTAGTCAACATCTCACAGAACCCACGACCTCCTGTAGACCAGGCGAGGTAGTCAACATCTCACAGAACCCACGACCTCCTGTAGACCAGGCGAGGTAGTCAACATCTCACAGAACCCACGACCTCCTGTAGACCAGGCGAGGTAGTCAACATCTCACAGGACCCACGACCTCCTGTAGACCAGGCGAGGTAGTCAACATCTCACAGGACCCACGACCTCCTGTAGACCAGGCGAGGTAGTCAACATCTCACAGGACCCACGACCTCCTGTAGACCAGGCGAGGTAGTCAACATCTCACAGAACCCAAGACCTCCTGTAGACCAGGCGAGGTAGTCAACATCTCACAGGACCCACGACCTCCTGTAGACCAGGCGAGGTAGTCAACATCTCACAGGACCCACGACCTCCTGTAGACCAGGCGAGGTAGTCAACATCTCACAGGACCCACGACCTCCTGTAGACCAGGCGAGGTAGTCAACATCTCACAGGACCCACGACCTCCTGTAGACCAGGCGAGGTAGTCAACATCTCACAGAACCCACGACCTCCTGTAGACCAGGCGAGGTAGTCAACATCTGACAGAACCCACGACCTCCTGTAGACCAGGCGAGGTAGTCAACATATCACAGGACCCACGACCTCCTGTAGACCAGGCGAGGTAGTCAACATCTCACAGAACCCACGACCTCCTGTAGACCAGGCGAGGTAGTCAACATCTCACCACGGGGAGAGAGACGCAGACTCCAAATATACAGCAGGACCCACGACCTCCTGTAGACCAGGCGAGGTAGTCAACATCTCACAGAACCCACGACCTCCTGTAGACCAGGCGAGGTAGTCAACATCTCCCTAGCCAACGTGGCGCTTTGCACCATTTCGCGTGTTATCTTTTTGTCTCGAGACAAAACATATTTGCACTGGCACTCTAAACAACCCCCCACCCCCCTCTCTCTCTCTCCCACACACGCACCTTGACCTGCACCTACTCAAGGAAGTGAGCTCATGTGCATTGCTCTAGAAGGGAAGTGATACAGGAAACGAAACAACAGAGTCGTAGCTGGTAGTCTCCTCCCTCTCTTTCTCTCGCTTTTTTTCGAGAGAGGCGATCAAACTATAGACCGTGCGTTTAACCTTGACAAAGCTACGCTACGTATGTGTGTGTGTGCGTGTGTAGAACTTCTTTGGCGCCGTACGTAGCCAGCCGTGGCTAATCGGAGGTGCGGGGGGGGATTACAAACTGAACACAGCAACGCAGAGCGGTTCTACAAACATTAGTTCTCAATCAAGTATAGTGGTGTAGTGTATAGTGTAGTGTATAGTGTTGTAGTGTATAGTAGTGTATAGTGTTGTAGTGTATAGTAGTGTATAGTGTGGTGTATAGTGTAGTGTATAGTAGTGTACAGTGGTGTAGTGTATTGTATTGTGGTGTAGTGTATAATGGTGTAGTGTATAGTAGTATAGTATTCTACATTGTATAGTAGTGCATAGTGATATATAGCAGTGTAGTGTATAGTAGTGTATAGTGTAGTGTATAGTAGTGTATAGTGTCGTGTATAGTAGTGTATAGTGTAGTGTATAGTGTAGTGTATAGTGTAGAGTATAGTAGTGTAGTGTGTAGTGTAGTGTATAGTGTAGTAGTGTGTAGTGTAGTGTATAGTGTAGTGTGTAGTAGTGTATAGTGTAGTGTATAGCACTGTAGTGTATAGCAGTGTAGTGTGTAGTGTAGTGTATAGTAGTGTATAGTGTAGTGTATAGTGTAGTATATAGCAGTATAGTGTAGTGTATAGTGTAGTATATAGCAGTGTAGTGTATAGTGTAGTGTGTAGTGAGTGTATAGTGTAGTAGTGTATAGTGTAGTGTATAGTAGTGCATAGTGTGGTGTACGTATGTCCAACTTCTATCGCGCCGTACATCGGCAACCGTGCTAATCGCGGAGATCCCATTGGAGAGACATTGGGGAGACTTTGTGAGCGAATGAGGAAGCATCGGTGATGAACCTGAGCTGCTGACACAGGAGGACGAGAGGATCACGACATGATTCTGTGGAAGAGACCAGTTGAGTGGAGGGGAATCATCCTTCTCGTGGTGAGGACAACTCACACTCACTCACCTGTTCATGATAACCAGTGACACTCACCTGTTCATTGTAACCAGTGACACTCACCTGTTCATTGTAACCAGTGACACTCACCTGTTCATTGTAACCAGTGTCACTCACCTGTTCATTGTAACCAGTGACACTCACCTGTTCATTGTAACCAGTGACACTCACCTGTTCATTGTAACCAGTGACACTCACCTGTTCATTGTAACCAGTGACACTCACCTGTTCATTGTAACCAGTGACACTCACCTGTTCATTGTAACCAGTGACACTCACCTGTTCATTGTAACCAGTGACACTCACCTGTTCATTGTAACCAGTGACACTCACCTGTTCATTGTAACCAGTGACACTCACCTGTTCATTGTAACCAGTGACACTCACCTGTTCACTGTAACCAGTGACACTCACCTGTTCATTGTAACCAGTGACACTCACCTGTTCATTGTAACCAGTGACACTCACCTGTTCACTGTAACCAGTGACACTCACCTGTTCATTGTAACCAGTGACACTCACCTGTTCATTGTAACCAGTGACACTCACCTGTTCACTGTAACCAGTGACACTCACCTGTTCATTGTAACCAGTGACACTCACCTGTTCATTGTAACCAGTGACACTCACCTGTTCACTGTAACCAGTGACACTCACCTGTTCATTGTAACCAGTGACACTCACCTGTTCATTGTAACCAGTGACACTCACCTGTCCTGTTCATTGTAACCAGTGACACTCACCTGTTCATTGTAACCAGTGACACTCACCTGTTCATTGTAACCAGTGACACTCACCTGTTCATTGTAACCAGTGACACTCACCTGTTCATTGTAACCAGTGACACTCACCTGTTCATTGTAACCAGTGACACTCACCTGTTCATTGTAACCAGTGACACTCACCTGTTCATTGTAACCAGTGACACTCACCTGTTCATTGTAACCAGTGACACTCACCTGTTCATTGTAACCAGTGACACTCACCTGTTCATTGTAACCAGTGACACTCACCTGTTCTTTGTAACCAGTGACACTCACCTGTTCATTGTAACCAGTGACACTCACCTGTTCATTGTAACCAGTGACACTCACCTGTTCATTGTAACCAGTGACACTCACCTGTTCATTGTAACCAGTGACACTCACCTGTTCATTGTAACCAGTGACACTCACCTGTTCATTGTAACCAGTGACACTCACCTGTTCATTGTAACCAGTGACACTCACCTGTTCATGTAACCAGTGACACTCACCTGTTCATTGTAACCAGTGACACTCACCTGTTCATTGTAACCAGTGGACACTCACCTGTTCATTGTAACCAGTGACACTCACCTGTTCTTGTAACCCAGTGACACTCACCTGTTCATTGTAACCAAGTGACACTCACCTGTTCACTGTAACCAGTGACACTCACCTGTTCATTGTAACCAGTGACACTCACCTGTTCACTGTAACCAGTGACACTCACCTGTTCATTGTAACCAGTGACACTCACCTGTTCATTGTAACCAGTGACACTCACCTGTTCATTGTAACAGTGGACACTCACCTGTTCATTGTAACCAGTGACACTCACCTGTTCATTGTAACCAGTGACACTCACCTGTTCATTGTAACCAGTGACACTCACCTGTTCATTGTAACCAGTGACACTCACCTGTTCATTGTAACCAGTGACACTCACCTGTTCATTGTAACCAGTGACACTCACCTGTTCATTGTAACCAGTGACACTCACCTGTTCATTGTAACCAGTGACACTCACCTGTTCATTGTAACCAGTGACACTCACCTGTTCATTGTAACCAGTGACACTCACCTGTTCATTGTAACCAGTGACACTCACCTGTTCATTGTAACCAGTGACACTCACCTGTTCATTGTAACCAGTGACACTCACCTGTTCATTGTAACCAGTGACACTCACCTGTTCATTGTAACCAGTGACACTCACCTGTTCACTGTAACCAGTGACACTCACCTGTTCATTGTAACCAGTGTCACTCACCTGTTCACTGTAACCAGTGACACTCACCTGTTCACTGTAACCAGTGACACTCACCTGTTCATTGTAACCAGTGACACTCACCTGTTCATTGTAACCAGTGACACTCACCTGTTCACTGTAACCAGTGACACTCACCTGTTCATTGTAACCAGTGACACTCACCTGTTCATTGTAACCAGTGACACTCACCTGTTCACTGTAACCAGTGACACTCACCTGTTCATTGTAACCAGTGACACTCACCTGTTCATTGTAACCAGTGACACTCACCTGTTCACTGTAACCAGTGACACTCACCTGTTCACTGTAACCAGTGACACTCACCTGTTCATTGTAACCAGTGACACTCACCTGTTCACTGTAACCAGTGACACTCACCTGTTCATTGTAACCAGTGACACTCACCTGTTCATTGTAACCAGTGACACTCACCTGTTCACTGTAACCAGTGACACTCACCTGTTATGTGTTTATACCACTGTCTGACACTGGGTAGTGAGACACTGCTAGTGAGACACTGGGTAGTGAGACACTGCTAGTGAGACACTGGGTAGTGAGACACTGGGTAGAGAGACACTGGGTAGTGAGACACTGGGTAATGAGATACTGGGTAATGAGACACTGGGTAGTGAGACACTGGGTGGTGAGACACTGCTTGTGAGACACTGGGTAGTGAGACACTGGGTAGTGAGACACTGAGTAATGAGACACTGGGTAGTGAGACACTGCGTAGGGAGTGATACTAGGCCATAAAGAAGGCTGCTGTTTCTGGTGTAGGCCAACCGCCTTCAAAGACAATGCGTGTGACATTCTTATTTTTATTATAGTGAACACCGCCACAGTCTCCGCTCCGCTTCTGAGCAGACGAATGAGTGGATAGCAGCATCTAAGCTGACATCTTGAACCCGCTGCTCTTAATCCGTACGACGGAGGAAGAAGCAGACAAAGACGAGACAGACCTAGGCGACGAACTCGTGAACCTGGACTGTGAACCCACCACACCTGAGATGGCAAACCCAATGTGCCCGGTCCACGGGACCACAGCACAGGCGAGGAAGCCGCAAAACCGGGTTCATGAATCGACTCCCTGAGCGTGAAAGCAGGTTCCAGCTGGAGGATTGAATTCAGCTCATTTGGCACGGCAGTGGCTCGGAGATGTTCACTACCTCGCCTGGTATACACAGGACGTCGTGGGTCTGATCCCAACCCTGACGATTACTGCGTCTCTCTCTGTCTCCCCATAGTGAGATGTTGACTACCTCGCCTGGAATACAGGAGGTCGTGGGTTCGATCCCGACCCTGACGATGCCTGCTGCTGTATATTTGGAGTCTGCGTCTCCCTCTCCCCATAGTGAGATGTTGACTACCTCGCCTGGTCTACAGGAAGTCGTAGGTTCGATCCCGACCCTGACGATGCCTGCTGCTGTATATTTGGAGTCTGCGTCTCCCTCTCCCCATAGTGAGATGTTGACTACCTCGCCTGGTCTACAGGAAGTCGTAGGTTCGATCCCGACCCTGACGATGCCTGCTGCTGTATATTTGTAGTCTGCGTCTCCCTCTCCCCATAGTGAGATGTTGACTACCTCGCCTGGTCTACAGGAAGTCGTAGGTTCGATCCCGACCCTGACGATGCCTGCTGCTGTATATTTGTAGTCTGCGTCTCCCTCTCCCCATAGTGAGATGTTGACTACCTCGCCTGGTCTACAGGAAGTCGTAGGTTCGATCCCGACCCTGACGATGCCTGCTGCTGTATATTTGGAGTCTGCGTCTCCCTCTCCCCATAGTGAGATGTTGACTACCTCGCCTGGTCTACAGGAAGTCGTAGGTTCGATCCCGACCCTGACGATGCCTGCTGCTGTATATTTGGAGTCTGCGTCTCCCTCTCCCCATAGTGAGATGTTGACTACCTCGCCTGGTCTACAGGAAGTCGTAGGTTCGATCCCGACCCTGACGATGCCTGCTGCTGTATATTTGGAGTCTGCGTCTCCCTCTCCCCATAGTGAGATGTTGACTACCTCGCCTGGTCTACAGGAAGTCGTAGGTTCGATCCCGACCCTGACGATGCCTGCTGCTGTATATTTGTAGTCTGCGTCTCTCTCTCTCTCTCTCTCTTCCCAGAGCGAGATGTTAACTACCTCACCTTGGAATACAGGAGGTCGTGGGTTTCATCCCGACCCTGACACCTGTTGTATATTTGGTGTTTGCGTGTCTCTCTCCCCGTGGTGGTCGCGTGGATTATCCTCCCGTTGTTCCCTCCGCATTTACAAACGTGCGTTTTGTAGAGCATTTGTCTGCGATACATTTCCACGTGGTAAGCCACTTCGTTGAGCTATCATTTGTGGTGGCCAGTTCGCTTGTGGTAAAATAAAAGTAGTTTGTAGTCGATAATTCGTTTAGTTTGGATCGTTTAACCGCAGGACAACAAACCTGAACGCAAAAAGCGGTTCTAAAGAAATGAGTTTGTCGATCTCGATGATGCAAAAAGTACACCATAGCTCCAGTGCCTACCTAATAGTTATCGGAAGGAAAGAACGTTCCAGACGGCCGCAGAAGCGCATCTGAAAGCACCGCGCAATTGCGGTGACCACCGCCTTTGTTCGACGGCGAAGCCGCCGCCGCCGCCACTGCGAGTAGGCCTCAGCAAGGTGAGGTAAATTACCCTTTTTACTGGGTAGAGGGTAAAGGTGTAGACCATGCCAATGGGTATGGTAAAGGGTAGGCTAAAGGTAGCGTGAAGTGTTACCCTCTAGGGTAAAGGTGGCGTAAAATATTATCCGGTAAACACCTTGTTTACGGTAAACACCTTGTGTTTACCGCTCGCTAAAAGCTCCCTGTCGCAGTCTGTGGCTTCCATTTAAAATTGGAATCATCGAGAGTATTTTACATGAATAAAGCGCTCTACCAAGCATTTACCTGTTATAAACCTTGTTCATGTGTAGTAGTACCCCAGTAATTGCCCTGTAATCGGGTAATTTGTATGGGGTAAGGGTGAAGGTAGGCTCGATGCTTTTTACCGTTTTCCTTACCTTGCTCAAGGGTCAAAGGTAGGGTAGAGTGATTATACTCGTATGTTTTTTCGGTAAAGTCACGTAGGTAATAAATAAATAAATAGCTTTCTAGTACTAATAGAAAAAATAATAAAAATAAAATAATAAATCACGACGTTTCGGAGGAGACACAAGCTTCCGTCTTCAGGTGGAACCGTCACAGCACGATAGCTGTATCAAGTAGAGAGAAGTCCCAAGAGACCTGACCTTGTATATATACTGGTTAAGGGGGGGAGCAGCCAGGATGGGTCACGGGAGAGGAGTTGTTGTGAGGTGGTTAGTACGGCTGCTGCTTGTTGGGACTGAGCCTTTGTTATGTAGATGGCAGAAGCAGATAAGCAAGTCAGGACCAAGCCGCCCCTTGCTTTGCTGCTGGGTGGGTAAAACTCACGGCAGGCAACCAGCGTGTAAAAAGAAGCTAAACGTGATAAAACAAAACTGGATGTCTATCAGTAAACTGTACGGTAACTAAAGAATAGTACCCGTCAACTAAGATGGTCCAAATATGTGTAGTTAAATCTTAAATTTCTATTTAAAGCTTTCGTGACTGCAGGGATTCATCTTCTTGGTTCTTTCAGAAAAGTCACGTAGAAGGGAAATAACAAAATAATAAAAATTTCATATAGTGAGAATTGTTTTTTTATTATGTTTTATTTTTATTATTTCCCTTCTACGTGACTTTACCAAAAGAACCAAGAAGATAATTAAATCTTTTTTGCATGGTTAATAACATCTTTCCAATGATGACTCAGTTTGTACCCATCATCACGGTTGAAGTTATGTCTGTGTTTGTATATCTGGATGGCTTCGTGCACAAACCTTTGATGGTAGCCAGGAGGTTTGCAGAGCACCTTGGTCTCGGAAAAGACAATCTCATGAGAACCCACAGAGTTGTAGCAATGATCGGCAACGGCGGAAGACTCAATTTTGCCGTGTTTCAGACTTGTGCTCGGGGACACGATCAGAGACATGACATTTCGTTTCCCCAATGTAACAATCACCACAGCTGCAACTTAGTTTATAGACTCCAGGGTATTGCAAGTCAGGAATTACATCTTTCACAGATGGAATTAGATCACGGATTTTATGTACTGTACTGAATCGGACTTGGATCTTATGTTTGTTTAAAATTTTGGAGATCTTTTTGGTCACGCCTGCTATGTATGGCAACGTGATAGTTTTGATCGGAGTTTCAAGTGGCTGTTTCTGTATGGTGGGAGAAACAGCTTGGCGGATGGTGCGGTCAGAGTATCCGTTCATCCTGAGGGCCCGATGTACATGTCTTAATTCACTGGCCAGGTGGTGTTGGTCAGAAATACCATGAGCTCTGTGGTATAGTGTTTTGATGCAGAATTCTTTTGAGACGGGTGGTGGTGGGAATCAGGTTTCAAGTAGGAATCTGTGTGGGTGGCTTTCCTGTAGACAGAATGTCCCAAGGATCCGTCAGGTCTCCTCTCAAACAGAATATCTAAGAATAGTAGTTTGCCATCTTTCTCCACTTCCATGGTGAATCTGATGGATGGGTGTCTAGAATTGATGTGGTCCAAGAAGTGGTTCAATGCTGGGAGGCCATGTGGCCAAATGACGAAAGTGTCATCCACACACCTCTTCCACAGGGAAGGACGCAGGGTGGATGTCTGGATGGCGTCTGATTCAAACTTTTCCATGAACATGTTGGCTATAACTGGTGACGAGGGGGAGCCCATAGGGGTACCCTCATTCTGTTTGTAGAAGGTGCCATTCCAGGTAAAATAAGTGTTGGTGAGGCAATACCTAACCAGCGCAGGTACATCCGAATTCAATCCATGTTGGACCAAGTCTTCAATTATTGTTAGGGTGTCAGGTACTGGGACTTTGGTAAACAGAGATACCACATCAAAACTGACGAGGATATCGTCAGGAGATAGTACCATGTCCTTGACCATAGAGACCAATTGGGTTGAGTTGAGTACTGCTGAAGAGGTCTTGCCAGTGAAGGAAAGCAGAGTATCTGATAGAAAATGGGCCAGTTTGTAGGTAGGGGAGTTGACCGTGGACACGATGGGCCGTAGTGGGGTGCCTTCTTTTCGGATCTTGGGAAGACCATAGAATCTGGGAGGTCTAGCAGCAGCCGAGGGTTTTAGAGAGGGACGTTTGGTTGGTTCGATTAGGGAAGTCGAACTCGTGATGATCTTGTTGGTTTTTGCCGTTAGGCTATTAGTAGGATCGTTTTTAATTTTGGAGTAACTCTCATCATTGAGTAGATCCAGGATTTTGTTGTTGTATGAGCCTTTATCCATGATGACCGTAGCATTGCCCTTGTCGGCCGAGAGGATGACTATATCATCTCTCTTTTTAGGTTCGCGAGTTCAGAGCGTTCGTTTTTGCTAATGTTGCTAGTGGGTTTCTTAGCGTTCTTAAGAAATGTGACTATTTCAGCTCTTGCTACATTCGCATGGATGTGTCCTATACCTCTGAGGGCTACATCAACCTGAGAAATCACATCCTCTACTGGTATATGTTTAGAGGTAACAGCTAAATCTAGTCCTTTGGCCAGTACCGTTTTCAGATTGTCAGAAATTGGGATGTTACTCTGATTAATAACGGTCTTGTTGACATCCAGCTTTGTGATGTGTGGCTCTGGTTTCTTCTTTGATAGGAGGTTGAATTTAGAGATCAAGTTAGCTTTGCATTTGGCTGACAGCGAGTCAGCAGAAGCAGCAGTCATGTTGTATTGTGGTGAGGTAAAAGGTAGGGTAAAGGTAGGCTCATTGTTTTTACCTTTTACCTTACATTGCCGAGTTCTAGCTGCGAGGATGATGACGGGAGTTTCGATTTACCCCCAAACTCGCCGATTTGTCCGCTGCACCCTCTCTGCGTAGATGGTCTCTGCCGCTGCCATTCTGGCCGACAGAGTTTGCGATCGCGGCTTCTACAAAACACACCAGGGCTTCTGCTGCAGACTCTGCCGCCCAGGTAAGGAAACACAACCAAAACCCAAACAATTTTGTTTATTGTACCAAGGCCCCCACTGAGCTATGCGGCCCTTTTGTCAGACGCGACGAGGCCGTCACATATGATAGCGAGGCGAAGTGGCCTATCGCGTGAACATTTATAGCAGCCAAATACTCTAAACACGTGATTCTACAGACTTATAGATACCCATAGAGACCCACACTCTTAGAGACCCACACTCATAGAAACCCACACTCATAGAGACCCACAGAGACCCACAGAGATCCACACTCATAGAGACCCACACTCATAGAGACCCACAGAGACCCACACTCATAGAAACCCACACTCATAGAGACCTACACTCATAGAGACCCACAGAGATCCACACTCATAGACCCACACTCATAGAGACCCACAGAGACCCATACTCATAGACACCCATACTGAAACTAAACAATTTTTTTCTTTTACCAAGTAAGGCCCACTACCCATTCACCAGCCCGCACTGAGCAGCCTGGTAAAGAACGGTCACAAAGACAAAAATCCCCCCTATAGCCTAAACAGACTGTTGGGGCATGTGCTGTTAGCAAGTAGCACCTATGAAGGCCGGCACGGCACACGAGGGGGTGGGTTGCCAGCACCATGCCGCCTTTGTCTCCCTAGTGGCGATGTTTACTACACACCGCACCAGGTACTCATTTGAGGTTGATTCGGTTCAGATAATCGTCGCCAGTGTCTACCGTGAGCGGGGATCGAACTCGGGCCACCGGGTCCATAGCGCCGCTAAACTACCGCTCCCCCACAGTATGGTGACATAACCCCCATGACAGACTGGGCATCTGGAAATATATCCAGAAGTAGATTGACAAAGAGCTACGTAGTTTTTCCATCTAAAATGTTGAAAAGTTCACGAAGCACACTGCCATGTTTCTCTTCATAGGGACTTTCAAGATTGTCGACTGCATCACCGATGGCATGGACCCTTTGTGTGAGCTATGCCCTGAGGGCACCTTCAGCAACCGAGAGCATCAGGAGAAGACATGCATGCCGTGCGGGGCTTGCGGACCAGGTAACAGGAACGACTCGCACCGCCGTCGCAATCACGATGGAGGATGCGGTGACATTTTGACGTCGCCTGACGCTACGCACGAAACACGACGCAACAAAACAGAGAAGGAAATAAAAAACGAGGAAAGAGAAAAAGAGGAAAAAAATGAAGAAAAATTTGAAAGAAAAAAGAGAGAGAAAAACAATGAGAAAATGAAGAAAACTTTGAAAGAAAAAAGTGAAAAAAGAGAGAGAAGAACAATGAGAAAATTAAGAAAAAGGAAAGAAAAAAGACAGAGGGAATTAACGAGACAAAAAAGAAATGGAGAAAAAAAGATTGAAAAAGAGAAAAAGAGAATTCAATAAATAAGAGGGGTCGTGAGAGGGGTTATAGGGGAGGGACGGGGAGGAGTGGAGGGGCGAGGGGACTGACGAGGAAGGGAATGGCCGATGTAGTTAAGAGGGTGAGGCTTTGAGAGGTGACATTGCTATCGTAGCAAAAACAAATCACGGGCATTGTCAAAACCAGGTCATGTTGTCCATGTGTGTGAGACCGATGAAGACTCGCTTCCCATTTGCAGATGAGGAGGTGGCTCACGCCTGCTCCTTGGCCCAGGACACCGTGTGCCAGTGCAAGGAGGGGTTCAAGAGAGACCCTGGCTCGCAGCTCTGTGTTCGTGAAGGGCCCAGCCAAGGTGACTTACCACGCGGTCAACACCTCTATCATTGTCGTCTGTAGAATTGCTTCTTGTGATTCGTGTTTGTTGTCTTCCTCCCCCCGCACACTCAGATTAGCACGGTTGGCTACGTACGTTGCAAAAGAAGTTCAACATACGCACTGTCGCCTATTCCCTTATTCGGCACCTGACTAAACTTGTGACGTCAAAGGTGGTCATACTCAGGATGTTCTGGTAACGATAAAACTCTTTCATAATAATGAACAAAAACGGTAACAACCACAAAACACGGGCTTACGGCAACTCACACCACAGCTCCGCCCTCGGCGGCAAATGTCTCCGCTCCGTTTGCCATAACAACCGAATGTAGGCCGTCTACAATGTATACATTGTCTACTCCCAGCATCATCGAGAGCATCACGATAACACCTCTGCCGCTCGTCGTCGCTACGATGAACGCCACGAGCGGTTTGTCACCCATTTCTATAAGGGGCCATTTCAATGCGCAGGAAAAAAACCTTGATGGTTTCCACAATGCAGATCTAAGACAGTCCTTTTTGATGGTTTCCACCAAGTAGATCTCAGACAGTCCTTCTTGATGGTTTCCACCATGTAGATCTCATACAGTACCACACCAGGTACTAATTTAAGGCTGGGTCAACCTAGGGGAGGCCCAGGACCAGTTCAGATAATCTCTAACACCGGTGTTGGCCGTGCATGGGAATCGAACCTGGGTCGCCAGGTCCGTAGCGCAGCGTAGCGCTAACCGCTACTAGACTACCGCTCCCCTAACATACACACACACCCAAGAAAAATAGTCCAATAGCAGGCGATGGAAATCTTGTCGAAATGAGTTGAACCAAGAGGGGAGAAGCGTGACCGTTTGTGGACCGTGAGGTCGATTATTGAGTCAGAATGCGTTTTTTGGGAGGAATTTTCTGAGGAACGTAACACCTGCTTTCGTCGAGGTCTGCCCTACACGTCATGGGCCGTTTTCGAATTCTCGCATTGACTGTCTTCAGCACGCTTTTTTTATCCATAGATCGGCGGAACTGATTTGATGTTTTGTTTTTCCCTTCTGTTTTCTATTTTTCAGTACTAGCAACCATCGTGTTGGGATGCATCGCCGCACTCTTGCTGAACGCTATAACTATCATCATCATCGTTTTTAGACGGAGACCGAAGCTCTCTCGTAAGTCTGATTGAGCAGATTAACGGTATACCGGTGCGCGGTAAAACACATTTTTTCTATTCGCACCTCCGATTAGCTACGGTGAGCTACGTACGGTGGGACAAAAGAAGCTGGTTTGACAATGATTACGATAGATTTTTATTTTATATGATAGTCATATTATCTCTTAAAGCCTCACATGTATGTGTGTTGTACTTATTTTGCACCACACTTCGCCAACCGTGGCTAATCAGAGATGCGAGGGAAAGGACAACAAACTAAACAGAAAAAGCAGTTTAATAGAAATTAGTTTGTCAACCTAGACCAGGGGTGGGGAACGTCCGGTCCGCGGGCCGTATAAGGCCCGCAAAATCATTTGATCTGTTCCAGCGATCACATTAGGGGTGAGTTAATGAAATGTTTGACCAAATATAACAGGCTAATTTTTAAGTTGATAATTTTGTATGGCACGCGAATGATGTTCTAAATATCCAAATGGCCCTTGGAAGAAAAAAGGTTCCCCACCCCTGATCTAGATGATGATTTAAAAGTGTATTGCTCCTGTGGCTTCCTAATATTGGAAGGAGGCGTTCCAAACGGCCGCAGACGCAGCGCATCTGAAAGCGCCGCGCAACAGCAAAAGCAAACTTCTTGCCATTGCATCTCTGTAATGCTCCCTGCGATGCGTTCACAGGCGCCAGGTACGAAGAGGCGGCACCGCTCCTCGTAGTCGTAAAGAACGGGACCCAGGTAATGGCGAGCGACGTTGACATCGGTTCGGAGCGCTCCAGTGGCGTGCATGGTGGCTCCAGCGAGCTTACAATAAGTGATACAATGCGTACGCTTGCCAATCACACGCGTGTCTTGCAGCCACGTTCTCTTGTTTCTCCGACCCGCGGCGGTGTATCGCCTCATCACTGTGGGAAAACACGAATTGTATGCATAAAAAATTGCGATTTAGTCTAACATGATGGTCATAGGGAGAGGCGTGGTTTCGATCCTGACCCTGACCAGTAGTCGAGACCCGAGGACCTTGGCTGGGTCGGGTCAGCCTCCCCTAGGCCCCGTTAGCCGGAGGGCTAAGATTAGGTGGTCCCAGTGGCTAGGGCACGTTAGCCCGGAGGCTGTACCTCCTGAGGTTGTCAGGTAGAAGGGGCCATTACCCCTTCGTGTTAGGGATCCCGTGTGTTATTGTTAAATAAATACGTGTTGCCACCTAAAGAAGACTCCGTCTCCATACAACCCACTACACATTCATTAATCCCCCCCCCCCCCACTTCGCACAAGAAAAGCACACAAGTGATGCCATCACATCTACCCCTCTATTTAAGGAACGAAACAGGAGGATTTCTCCCCAAATCTGGCTGACGCCTGATGAAGCTGGTTGTAATTACTGGCGACACGTCGTACTCAGATTGGAAATGTTGTGGCTTTGCTCGCCAACATACCGGTGTGCTGTACTAGTAACGAATTGCCACGTTCTGTTTACGTGACAAAACTTACTAATTGGTTGTTTTGGGTGGGGGCGGGTTTAACGACGCATTTATATATTTGCACGATTTATTATGGATATTGGTGGCGAAAGCCTACGTGTTAAACATACATTTATTCAGCCACCTCGTGTAGGCAACCTCAGATTGTAGAACTGCTGGAGACGTTTCCGTGAGACTTCTATGTTCGTCATCCACAGGCGGACGGTGAAATTGCTGATAACATGGTAAAGCAGGTAATGCAGGAATACTCAGAGGAGCTAAAGGAGTGGGTCGGTGAGAACCCGACCCCTCTCCTGGAGCATCTGATCAACAACCGCACAATCACACGGGAAGTTTACAGCACGGCCAAAAGCAAGGGTGGAAAGGACTGCGTGGAGTTTCTACTTCACCACTTCCTCAACCGGGGAGGGAAGGAGTACTTCAGGCTCTGGAACGCTCTCTACGCCGTTAGAAGAAACTACCTGCAGCTGTGGAAGATGTTCAACGAAAAGGTATGCGTGGTCCTTTAACTCTTCACTACGATAAACATCACGTCAAGTTGCTTCGAATCGTCAATTAAAAAACACGGTGCTCAAACTCAATAATTGAATGTTTAAAAAGTATAATTACGGGCAGTCCTCTGAATTACGAACGAGATTTTCTCCCGAGACCCGTTGCAAGTTAAAACGGTTCGTAAGTCGGAACACAATAATATCAACGTATTTAAATGCCCATACGGTCAGAAGTTATTAAACGTTTTACGATTCAACATAAATGGGAAGCATTGTTAA